CCTCTCTCTCTCTCTCTCTCTCTCTCTCTCTCTCTCTCTCTCTCTCTCTCTCTCTCTCTCTCTCTCTCTCTCTCTCTCTCTCTTTCTCTTGCTCTCCCCACTCCCTCCTGCTGCGACTTACAATGGGTTTCCCCACACTCGAAGTGAGGGATGTGATGGCAATGGCCACCTCTTATCCCTCGGTCCCTCACTCCCGACGGCGCGATCCCCTTCCTAAGATACCCGCCAGAAAATAAAGCAAAAAAGTTTTGGTCCTCGACAGTTTTTTTCATTTTTTTTGGGAACCCCCACCACACCCCCACTACGCTGGACACCCTGTACCTGCCCCCAAAACACCCGTTTTGGCCTTTCCCATGTCGCAATGAAAGCCGTCAAAATGGCTTTAAACGGGGGGTTCAACGCAGAGGCCGCATTGAATTAGTTTCCAGTGTTGGGGTCAAAATGTTTGTGGATGTGTGCTCGCTCCCTGTTGCTTCTGCTCCTTGCTGAACTCAGTGCATGTAACAGTATGGGTTACATGTGCTGTCTCGCACTTGAGTGGTCAGCTATCTGGTAAGCAGTGCAGCAAAGCCTGCCTTGTTTCCAACTCGCTCTTTGAGCATCAAACTTGTTGCAGGGCTGACCTTGGCGAAGTACTGATGGTTGTCACCATGTGTACTTCTGGGTGAGTTCGTTGCTGTGCTCATTTCAGTGGAACTCACCGTAGGAGTCATTGTAGCTTGTTGTAGTGGGAAAGCTTTCCATGGCCTGTGTTAATGAACATCATCGTGGATGGTGTTGTTCAATTTTAGTGGTCATTTTGAGGGCCAGCCACGTAGTCATTGTGATTCGGTGGTTGAGTCCCCAGTGACTCTTGGAGTTTTGACCATGTTCTTTGTTGCTTTCCAAGCATACAAAGTGCAAATCTTTGTCGCTCTTGTGGAGGTGTGTTCCTCCGATAGATTTCCTGTATGATCTGCAGCAAGCTCAGGAACTTGTCGTGGGATGGGATAAAATTATGCATGCACCGCAAAGAGGTGAGGGACATGCCTGCAGCCTGTTTGTCCCCCAGCAAGGGGTGAGGGGACCACGACCTCTATTGCAGTGTAGTCAGGGGATCAACATGAGGCCCAAGTGCATTTCTTGGGTGGAACATAAGTGGGCCCGAGGAACAAGATCCAATTGAGCGAACTGACAAGGTGCTTCAGAGTGGCATGAGGATATCATCCAGATTCAAGAAGCATAGTGCGCCAACTAGTTTCTTTGTTCTTGATAGGACCTTGATGAGTGGCCAGATGATACGGGCCAATGCAGCGAGAACTGGCAAGGTCCCTTAGAGAGGCATCAAGATGTCAAGCAGATTGCAGCAGCATATTGCGCCAATGAGGAAGAGGGGCGAATTGTAGGGGAGTGAAGATGGGGAAGCAAGAGGGATACTGTTACCGTTTGCAGTAGGAGGGGCCCGCAAGGAAGAAAAATCCCTATCTGGGGTCTAACTGCAGGACATCTTATTGTCGGAGTGGTTGTCTGCCACATCAGCTACTGAGTAGAGGATCATGATGAAAAAGCATTGTATCGGACTGGCAAACATCCAGAGGCTCTGGGTTCTCTATGCATGCTGAAGTGTATTACAACCAAGCAGGGTGAGCAGTTCTTACCTCTCAACCTTAACCATCATCAGGCCTGCCAAAGACCAAATCTATGTTGGATCTGTTTGGCCCTAGGGTACAATGGCTTAGGCCCCACAATGGCATGCCACTACTTGAAGTGAAGCAGCGGCATACGGTTGGGAGAGGTGGTAAGGAAACGGGTACTATTTGAGAATAACGATTTTTCAGAAATGACTAGAACACTGTATTTTCGTCTTGTTTTTTTTTTTCTTTTCAAAAAATACAGTTTTTAACTTTGTCTCTTTCGAGATGTGTGTGTAGGGTTCTCTCATTCGCATCCGTCCTTCCCAACCTCACCAACTATGCAGAGGCTTAGCCAACACAGCTTACCAGACGTCTTCAGCCAGGTCCAGGGTAATCAGAGGAACTGTTTTGTAGGATGGCTGTTCCACAATGGACAACAGTTTGATAGCAAGTCAGACCTATAATGACCAAAGATTTCATCCATTCCTTCACTTATTGAGTGGTCATAGAAGAATAAGCATGAAGTAGAGGAGCACCCAGCAACCAAGCGACGTGAGGATCGTGAAAGAGAGTCTTGAAGATGCAGGCCAGTGCCAATGCTGTAGGTTTAAGAGGGGCAGTGCATGTGGCTCATGATGATTAGTTGTGACTCATGACATAGCAAGGCTGGTGAGTGTGTGTGTCAGCGGTTGTGGGTTGAGTCAAAAGGGTTGCTGACAGGGTGGGGATGTCTTGAAGGGGAAGTGTAGGGTATGGTTTAGGGGGGTGCGAAGGGTATGGAGGCGTCTCAAGGAAGGGGTAAACAATCTCTATGTAGTATGTACCTATTCCTCTCTTAGGATTGGGGTTCCTTGAAGGATTTGTCGATGACATGTATGTGTTTATCT